CCGAGTTGGGGAGTGAATTTGTTTATGTTCACACCCAGATTTATGATGCTCTTCAATGCCCATCCGCTGTCACGCTCCTGGAATTCCTCCAGCTCAGTCAAAATCGGCGCCGTAACCTTCCCATCGAACCATACATTCAGATCAGTATCCTTGTAGACGGGTGAGTTTGATGTTGTAAAGTACTTGTACTCTCTAAGTACACTATCTCCCTTCACCAACTCAAACTCCTCACAGAAAACCGAATTGACCTTGATCGCCGCATCTTTCTTGAGAGCGTTCTGAATACGCCGGCTGAACAACGCTTTACAATCAGTCAAGAAGGCCGCAGGATCCTTATGTCTCAAGTTCGAGATTACTGCAGTGCGAATCCTGCTATTAAAAGCCGATTGGAAATCTTCCCAGCGAACTCTATCCCGTGCAGTTTCCTTTCTTGATGTAAGTCCACCTCCCTTCTTTTGGAGCGCTTTAAACTGATTGCGAAACGATTTCAGATTACGTAGGCAGGCTTCCAGATGTTGCTTTTCACCGAAAGTCGTTGCATTCTTCAAAGCCTTATTGATCCTCTCAATCCCAAGATAGCATTCGCGAAGACCTTTTCTCAGCTCTTGCTCATCATTGTTTGATGCTACAAAGCCCAATATAGAAGCGATGTACTTCACCAAATCGGTGAACAGCGACATTTTCAACAACTGGAAAAATAACAACTCTAATTGTTGATTCATCCAACACCTTTGAGCTCTGCTATTGAAATCTGCCTGAAAATATCCCATTTTGACATTTGAGGCTCAATCCTCTACTTTTTTTTTTTTTTGTTGTTGCATTTTCGCAAAACCAACTAGTTTTCCATTTATACATACATATATGATCTGAATAATATCATTATTGTGGAAATATTTTCAAAAGGATTAACGATGGGTTTGCTCTTCATTCATCCGAGATTGAAGCAGTGGGGGTTTTAGTGGAGGATGAAAAGAGCTGTCCAAGACTGGGTCCCAACCCCAGTGGCGGATTTTTCCATCTTCACCTTGAAATATTTTCATATTATAATGAACTTTATTTGTACACATACTGAGACCTTGCGTCTCATGCTCTACTGCAGTTTCAGATTACATCTCATTGGTGAAACGGAGGACCAGCTGTTGAAGTATCGGATGCATGATGATGATGAGAGAACAGTAAGCCAGCAGTAGCCAACCATGTCAGATTTATGCACAATTGATCGTAAAACAGAAGACAAGCAAACGTCGTTGAAAATCATTGCTCAAGTAAGTATGCGCATGGTTTTGCTCTATATGTTGAGAATATAGGTGTCAATTTAATGACCCAGAGGGGAATTTTTTCATTAGGATAATGATCACCAATATTGTCATCGTGACATCAATTTTGTTATTAGATGTCAACAATTGCTAGATGCTATCAGGCCTCAGACACTTTGCTGAGTACCCATTTCATGTTTCAGTTCAGTATTAATAAAAATTAAACGAGATTCAAAGAAATACTATTTATTTCAACTAAAATACCAAAAGACCTCTACACAATCTATGCTCTAATTTTATTTCATCTGCTTTCCTGGAGCTTCCTCCTCTTATTATTCCACCTCTCCTCAGAATGTCGAAGCTGCTGTCATCTCTTGGTGAATACCGAGTACTTTTATGGCCATTCTGAATGTGAGATGAATACTTGACAGGACGCGATTCCTTACTCGGCTTGATCATCTTCAGACATGTTGAATTTGAACGCTTCATAGGTACTTTAACGTCAGCCAGTTGTTCAAGCGCCAAATATTTATTTCTCACAATTTCAGCAAAGTCCACAATTTTTTTATGTCTATCTTCGATTTCATTCTCACAAGGATCATCCGTGATAGCATCATTTTGACTCAACTGCTGACCAATCTCAGAATTCGACTGGCTTTGGGACAATAATTGGTGATCACTATCAATGGAGTTCGACTCATTTCGTTGATCAGTGGTGATCGATTCGTTTTGGGGATTAACCAGGTCGTTCCCTTTGTGCTTTCTCGCCAAATGTTTTTTCATGCTATCCAATCTTGTGAATTTGTCCACACAATAATGACAATTGAAAACTTTTTCGTCATGACTATCCATATGCCGCTTCAATCCATAGGCCCACTTGAATTTCTTGCTGCATTGCTGACAAGCAAACATCTCAAGACGTAATATATTTTTCTTCCTACTATGATGTTAACAGTATGAAGTCAGGACAACAACTGACATCTTTATAAACCCGACACTAACCATACCGTCACACCATTCACACCGCCATTCACACAGCCATGCACACCTCCACACTACCATTCACACAGCCATGCACACCTCCACACTACCATTCACACCGCCATTCACACAGACACACCGCCATTCCCACCATCACACCGCCATTCACACCACCACACTGCCATTCACACCGCCATTCACACCGCCATTGACGCCTGTCATACTACCACTTAGCCCTGTCACTCATATAGAGTGACGTTTTTTTTTTTGTGACGCATGCGCACACCTCTTTCAAAATGATGGCCTATTTGATTCTCGAGAATTTGTACAACACTTGCAACTCACATTATGTTTCAGTTTCACCACTTTCAGTTACTTCCAACCAGCACCGTACAACAGAAGAGGGCCACGACACCATTGAAATAACAAGAAGGGGAATAAAAGACATATAGAAGGGCAATGAGGTGTGTTGCTGCCTGTACGAGAAGCCTACGAGCCCTACCGCTAAGGTGTGTTACTGTCTGTGAAAGTACAAGGAGGAGGAGGAGACAGCTTGATGAAGTGTGAAGGGTGGGTTTTTGAAAAACAAAGTAGGTATTTTATTTAGTGCAATAAAATCGTGAGAGTCACTCCTCAAAACGTCTACATACATTTTAATGAACATCGACTATTTATTTGAACAATTTAGTTGAGGTCGGCATTTCCATGCTAATATTATATATCTCGAAAATTGATGCATTTTTTTCAACACACATGCCTGAACATCATACTGAACACTCGTGACTGAGACAGCATACATGTGACAATTGGAATAAAACAAAATGGTATTTAATCGTTTATTCGTAAAGTGATATAATTCTTGTTAACATTGTTTTCAATTGATGAAGTAATCCATCATTGGGGCAGGATATTCCAAAGACGCTCCAACTGAACGGTTCGGCTTTCACTACCCGTCTAGTATATTCACTATATTTGTAGTATGTATTTCTATCGAAAAAATATATATTTCCATCGATATAACGAAAAGCTGATATTATGCCTGCTGGAATTCCTGGGAAGATGTGACTAAGTGGCCCACGGTTGCTCATGTCTCCATTGTCATCAAATGTAATGTAAGAATCGTTGTTATATAACAAATAAGCCTATCCACTGTTTGTCTGGAAGACAGCATTAATTTTTTGCTTTAGAAGGCAAAGGAAAACGAAAGTTTTGGTGGATTTGAAAATTCGGAAAAGATACTGCATAATACATACTATCATTTATAAATGTCACTAGATTACCCACAGAATTTTGGAAAACATGTGAAACTCGAGAAGACTTTAAATCTTCAGGAAGATAATCATCAAGCAGCTCTGGCTGTGATGGAATTCGCATATCGTTCAAATCGAACTTCCACAAAAATCTATTGTATCCCACGTACATGCGATAATTTTGAAACTGGGGTGACGAACTGAAAATGTCAATGTTATACAGGGTGGCTCGAAAAGAAATACCTTTTTTCAGTGGGGCACCATATGTATAATATTCCTAAGTGTTGATTATCCCTGCCAAATATTAACATGTCAACATGACATAGAGGTCTTGATCATTCAGTGGCACTATATTATTATATATGTTGTACGAGTTAAAACATACCATAGGAAGAATAAATAAATTTGCTATACCGAATGTCTGAAATGGAACATAACCTCAAAGAGCTTTGTCTAGTATTGATGTATGATAGCGTTTTTTTGGTCATCTGTCAGATGTCAAACGTCAGGCCATGAGTGCCCTATGTGAGTTTGTATTGCTATTATTGCTGTATATCAAACGGATACTCTATCATACGTATGTTTTGCTGAGTGTACCTGTGAGACGCCCTATTTCTTATCGCTATTGCTAACTCAAACATCCAGTATATTAAATTATTAGGTAGCGGTACTTGCAGGTCATCTAGTCACGTCGTGTCATCAATCCTTTGTTAACTGTCAAATGTAATACGTCAGCTGTCTAATCCCGCAAAAGTGGGTGAGGCGTCCAGTATATTTTTTGACTGTTATCCAACTCAAACGCCCTGTATATATCATGTTATAGCGGGTAGCCTTTATATGTAGGTCGGACAGGTATAACGCCTTTTTGGGTTCATCCTATATTTTTTTCCAAACTATTACCCAACTCAAACACCCTGTATATAGCCGTTGTTAAGTGAAAAAATGGAATAAAATGCGCACCGTTATCTCTGGAACGGATCTCTCGCTTTGCTCGCCGATGATGACGACCCGTTCGCTAGGCCGCGAGTAGCTAGCCGAGTCAGGCCGGCCTGTGATTGGTCGGCCGAGTCACGTGGTTTGGAGAAAAGTGGAGGGGAGGGGCTGGACTGGAGAGGCGGACTACCTACTCCCCTCCAGAATCATGTTTTATCCCCAAAAAGTATTCCTGATACGGCCACCACAGAGGACCAACAACAAGTTAGAGCGCGTCTGGAAAGATTTATGCCGCTCTCCATTTCTGGACTGGTTTCATGCTATAGACTTTTCGTTTCTTCCAGTCGAAAAGGAACTGAATCATGATATATTGATTGGGGAGCAGAATTAACGCAACAAGAATGCATTTGATTCATTCAGAATGATTCGTGTAGGAGAAATTTCAACCTAATTGATCGACGAGATCACTGAATTTAAGGAAAGAACTGTACACAGACCCACCAATAAATAAGCAAACCCTATTAGCTATCCATTTCACCCATACCTGTTAGTAAGCTGATGAGTGACGGTTGATGTATACTTCTTGGATCATATCCGGCAGAGAGCAACAGAGATTTTGCCAACACGTTCTGGTACAATTCGCATAACCATGTAGCCGATACGTAAACAAGAACTCCACTTCCATGGACCTCTTCAACAAATTGATTTTCGGTTATTGGTACTGGTATATTCTGGAAGATAAAATATAGACCCATCAAGAAGTTAGTATTTCATTATATTTTATTTATATAAGTATATCACCTGACGAAGCTACTGTGTTAGCGAAACATGTCGTGTGTTTGAGAAATTTGCGGAAATCTTATCGTTTATGAAATTTTTACATTTGTCATGGATTTCCATCAAGTAACAGCCGAGTCAATTCGAGAAATGAATTGGAAAAATTGTATCATGATACGAAAATATTTTTTGCTCAATAATATGAAACAATTTTGGAAAAATAGTTCGAGATAGTTTGAACGTCCTTTTAGAGATATTGCTCACATGTGTATTGAAGTTCAGTTCATCATAAAAATTAACACCCAAATCCGCAAGTCCATTTTTTTATGAGGCTGTGTCATTTAGTTTGTATGTGAAGTCCACTATATTTTTTCCTAATGAAATGTTACGGAGAAACATTTTCCAAAATTGAAGTTGAAGTTATTATTTCCAGACGAAGACATTATCCTGTGAATATTCTTTTGTAAGTTTTCACAATCTGATTCATTGACCACTCTCGCATAATATACCTTTGAATTGTCAGCAAATAATTGGCATTCAGAAATTTCATGAATGTCCAGTCATAATGCACAAGAAAAATATAGGCCCTAAGTTTGACCCTTGTGGTACTCCAGAATTTGTAGAGTATTTATAAGAGGTACCTCCTTTATATACTACATATTGTCGACGATCCTCTAGATAGGATGCACAGATTTTCAACAAATCATTAGGAAATACCTTGGAGCACAGATTAATGCCAATGGTTTGTAATTGGTGATTTTATTTTTATTGCCACTCTTCAAAATGAGACAGACTTTAGTAAGTTTCCACTTGGAGGGATAAACACATGTTCTCAGAATGAGATGAAAGATTATTTTTGGGGGTTTTATCAAGTAATATGCAGGTATTTGGTCCGGACACATGGATTTTTTGGATTTAGAGATTTAATAGCGACCTTCATTTCGTCATCTGTTATGTCCTGGATTTGCAGTTTGTTTATGACATTCGATTTGTAGTGTATCTAATTATGTGCTACTAGTTTATTTCATGTGTAGTCGTGTATACTACTTATATCACTATATACTTTTTTTGGGCATTTACTTATCGAAGGATTTTGTTCGACATGGACCGGCAACTGTAAAAGCAGTGAATAAATTCTTCACGAATGAAAATGTTGAACTTTATTTCAGTTCATATTAACTGAAAACATTATAAGTGGCGACGAGAATTATTGAAATTATTTCGAAATGACGGAATTTATCGGACACTTACGTGAGTTTGATCCCGCGGTATCGGATTGGTCCGTTTTCCAGAAACGATTGGAAAATTATTTTGTGGCTAACAACATATCCGAAGGGAAACGTAGGGCAGCAATATTATTGAACATTCTCAGTGAAAGTGCGTATAAGCTCATCTTCAGTTTGTGCATTCCTTTGGAGCCAGAGTCAAAAACTTACTCTGAGTTAGCTCCTCCCCTAACTGAACATTTCAAAGCTAGTGAGTATTCAGAGCAAGATACAAATCTTACAGTGCGAGGAAGCTTTCGTCGGAAAATGCCAAAGATTGGGCAGCTAGACTCAGAAGTTTAGCCGCTGCATGTCAATTTGAAACTGAATTATTGAAAGTTGTTATGAGAGACATATTTATCATAGCTTACGACAAGGGCCCCGTACAAGATTGGTTGATGGAAGAGAAGATAAACACCACATTTAAAAGGGCAGTGGAAATTGCAGCAGTAGAATCTGCTGTTCAGCCATCTTCTCAAAATTTTGATCGTGTCATCAAGAAAGAACTGGACCTCCATTACATGCAAGACAAATTTCGGCATGGTAAGGCGCAAAGTTCGAGAGGAGGGAGAACAATGGGACAACAACAGCAAGGTGGGAAATCAGCATTTCAGAGATTTTCTTATTATATCGAGTAGGTATCAATCATGAACTCCTCAGTATATAGTTGTTCTCTCACGACCACTTCGAAATAATTATTTTCCTAATGTATGAAACAATGTATTTCAGTTAATGAAATGGAGATCTCACCTCTGTGATATTTTCATTGTAATGGCCAGACTGAATAAGCTTCAGGTCAAGCAACAGAGCGGAATAGGTCGCTAAGTAAACTCCATCTGCGTTCATAATCGTGGATATCTCGTAGTTTTGGGAAGAGTTGTGTTGACAGCATTTCGAGGAGAACTCTTGGAGCACTTCGTCTACCTGAAATAATGGAATCTTGACAATCGAACAAGAATTGTACCAATAACAATTGTTCACTTTCGCAAAACAGAGGTTTTCAATTATTTCGGGTCCAGATGTTCATGGACATTGAATGAATATATGGAATTGTACCTATAAACATGCATGCTCATTGGTTGTTTCTGATTGTGCGTCCAGTAGACGCCCATTTCATTCAAGGACAAAGAATGAACATTCATTGTACGTCAGGAGACTTCTGTACATTCGATGTTTGGCTAGCTACATGATGAGAATATCTCATTCACAATCTCTTACCTGTATGGAAGATCGTAATGCCATCAAATTTGGTAGAAGGACATATTGCAAGGACTTCACGAAATGTTTCGCGTTGTGCCTTTCCATATCCGTATTGCATTCTTCCACGCCTGTTCGTCCCTAGAAATAATATAACTTCATAAATATGTTGCTGTATGAGAGTTGTACGTTTAATCAAAATAAAATTTGTACAATAATTTTTGGGTATATACGGCATCTTCTGGTTATAAATCGGATTTTTTCATTTTGAATGATGACTATGACAAATATATATATATATATTATGATGCACTGGATATCCCTTTTCGTGGGAACCGAAACATAAAAAAAGACGAGTATTTTACTATCGAAGATTTTACTAATACCATGTATGTATATTGCATTCAATGGCTTTCAAGATGATTATTTACTTCCTCTGAAACTATGAAAACACGAATACTAATAAAATTATTCAGCTAACTTTTCTTCCCTAGACTAGCACGACTCTGTTTCTCTTGCATAAAATGGTTTTGATTAGACTTTCCATCTTGGAAGCATATAAATTCATCTGCCTGTGAAAGATGGCTGACACCACATCAACCATAGGCACTGTGAAATGGGTATACCCACCCGTGCTTCAGAAGCTGGTTGATGATTCTGACCAAACCAACCCTATTTAATTTCCTCTTCCTTTCACGTCAACCTTTATTTTCAATACAGAAAAAGCGATTAGCGAGTATTCCCAACACTCTCCAAAGCCGACGGCATATCAACAACAACATCGCAAGAGAAAGCGAACATTTTTGCAGATATGTTCGCAGCGAACTCCACATTGTATTTCCAGAAAAGAGTGCCACCAAACATTCCACCCGTTGAAAGTCGAATGCCTGAAATCGTCTTTCGTCAACGCACTATCAGACGCATTCTGTCCGGTCTCAAAACAAATAAGGCTTACAGTCCTGATGGAATTCCACCCATTATTCTCTGAAAATGTGCACCAGAATTGACACCGATTCTCTGCAAGCTATTCACCATCTCCTACAAGTCAATTAGTTTACATCTCGCTCACAAACTCACTCACTTCTCTGGATCACTGTAGAAAATTTGGTGATCTTGCTCTATTTTATAGATATTTTCATGGACGATGCTCTCCTGAAATATCAACAATTGTTCCTTCCTTGGCAGTCCCCGCGAGATTAACCCGTCGAATTGAGGCTTCGCACCACTTCGTGGTCACCTTGGAGACCTGCATTACATCTCTTTTCAAAAACTCGTTCATCCAACGAACAGCTAGGCTCTGGAACACATTGCCAAGGGAGTCATATAACCTCCAGAAATTCAAGAAGACCACCAATACCTACCTTATTTTCCTTGGTCCTCACGATGTTCTCTGAATATTACAGGATATCCCTTTTCGTGGGAACCAGAGCATGAAAGAAGCAGACAATCCTCAGAAGAGGAAACAAAAGCCTGCCCAACAACTATAGGCCAGTTGTCCGTTATCAGTCATCTCCAAAGTGATGAAGAAAGACATCAACATTGAGCTGATCGAATATCAGGAATGCTCAGGAATCAATACTGATAGACGATATGGAATTTGCCACCGTAGATCAACTGGAGATTTACTTGCCTACGTCACTCATATATGGCAAGTTTCTTCAGAAAAACAATAGAAATCTCCAGCTGTAGTGTTAGATATATCGAAGGCATTTGACCGTATTTGGCACCAAGGCCTGCTTCACAAACTACCATCATACGGCTTACCACCCCAGCTATGTCGTGTTTCTCCCAGGCAGATCGCTCCATGTGGTGATGGACAAAGTATCGTCTGATATCATTGCCATGAATTCCGACGTTCCACAAGGGTCAATTTTGGCACCAATATTTGTTTCTACTTAATATCAACGATCTATTGGGAGCAACCACTTCTCCTTTGCCTATCCTTCCTACGATGTTTCACGAATATTATAGGAATCTACTTTCGTGCACTCCAAGAGATGACGAAACTGGTTGACGTTACTATGAACAGTTTGTATATTCCGTCTAGGGTTACTTTAGTTTTCCTACTCGTCAACATTGGTGTGGTAAATATAAATATATTTACCACTGATTGGTGAAACCAATTTGTTTTGTTGTAGAGCGCATGCGCTATGATAATTTCCACCTGAATATTACTGTTTGGCCAGCTTGATGCAATCAATCTTTCAATTAAAGAAATATCGAAGAATTGCATGTCAAACGAAACGAACGTGTCTTCCTCATTATTCATGTCATGAATAAGTAAACCCATTCCTGGTATCTTTAACCACCACATTTTTCAGTTTGATTATTCCATCGTCATTCTTAATAACATCCTAGTTAGTAGGCGAGACGTGGAATATTGTCTGTTTATCGATAACACACTTGAGAAAATCAATGAGCTAGTGACATCTATACGGAATGGGAGACTTCGCCCCAAGCTGCCAACCTGAAAAGCTCTACCTCTGTAGAAGCTATATTATGGAGGTTTGATTACTAAAATAGCTTTATTTTGACGAAATCTTATCGTAGCCTACTTAGCTCACTGAACTAAGTTATCCAGAAGCAAATAGTAATTTTTTTATCAACTGCGCGAAATGCAACTTTGATAATCAAGAACTGATTATTTTAACGAGGCGTAACCGAGATGAAAAAATTATTCCGCTCACGAGTTGCAAATAATTTTTTCTCTACAAACGTCGAAAAATATGGTTCGGAAGTATAGTAATATGCTTAGCTTAATATAAAAAATAGTGTTGAACTGGCTTGAAATGCATAAGTTATTGTTGAACATTCAGAAATGCTCGATTGAGGACCATAAAGTTTGAATACTAAAATCTCATATAGTGTATACTCACAACGCGCGTAGTACTTGAGTACTTCGCGCACTACTCCGTCCATGGTGTCGTGGTAACATAAGAAACTGAAAAATACTGTCACTTCCCAATTTGTGAACAATGTGCGAACCTTGTCATTTTTTGACGTTTGTAGAAATAGTTATTTATTATACAAGGAAAAAGATTTTAGCTCCAGGTTTGGTTGTCTCCCGACGCATAGCGCTGCCGCTAGTTGAAAGTAAGTACTATAAAAGACCAATTTATTGATAACCACGTCAAGAGCTGCAAGAAAAAATTCAACATCACTTCGATGATCTCATAGCTGATCCTCAACCGTTGAGAAGATTGATGCATTCTTTAAAAAAAAGGGTCGAATTGCGTATTCGTGAAAACGAAAAAGTTATATTTGAAAGTACTCTGTACGAACCGTGTAACTAGCGCCCTCTATGAGTGTCAGATATAAAAACAAAATCATGCGGTGTGTCAGCATTCAGAACACATCCATACAAAATATCATCACAATGTTGCCAGTAGTTTCGACATAATCGCAAAAAAATGTGTAACAAAAATATTTTTTTTCAATACCTTGTATCTTGAAAACGGATGCCGTTACGACACTTTTCCACTGAACAAACCCAACTTATTTTGAAATGTTCTACCTACCTTAGCAAGGGGGTTAGGTTTTTGTGAAACACCCTGTATATGTACAGAAATCTGATCTTCCTGAATTTGTTCCCAATTAAATACCAATAGATAGTACCTAAATAAAAAGTTGAGATAGGGAAATTTGAGCCGTTTTGACTGATAATGAATAGTTTCAACACAAAAAAATATTAAAGTTGAAAAATCTTGATTTTGAACACCCTATACCTCAGTAATCATTCTTGCTAGACCTCAAGTGTGATGAATCGATGAAATCATCTTTCCAGGGAGAATCTGAAAATTCGATAGAATACAGGGTGTTTAATTTAAAATAAGGAAGTTAATAATGATTTCGGAAAAACTGAAGAAGTGGCAACATCGACGATATCATTTTCAAATCCACCACGTTTCGAAATCACCCTGTACATATTGAAGAAAAATGTAACAAACGGTTACCGAGATATTCACCTGGTTCCATAATTTTGCCCAACCCTGTATGTGCTATATATTAGAGAAATAAGTACTTACTTTTTCCATGAGAAAGAAGTAATTAATGGGAAGTGACATTACATAACCTGTCAACAGAGACGAAATTTCGATCTTTTTGCCGTCACACAAAAAAAAAAACATTTTACTGCGACGGGAAAAAAAGTTTGACATTTCATCTCTGATAGAATATGAAATGTCAATTTATATCTTCCTCCATATTCGACCTATTCACGGTTGAGTGAAATACTAAACAACCATACTGAGCTCGCAATTTTTTTATTCAAATCACATAATTAGGCTGACAGATATTCAATTACCTTCAAAACAATGATGAAGATGCCTGCGAAAAGATTCCGGCAACGCAGGTATAATTCCTGTTAAAAACTACAAATTTCACTTCGGTAATTTTCAATATCATATTTTCTCAATATTGATTCTTTCCCTTTCCTGTCACAGAGAATAACACTGTATTCAGATTGAATGTAGAATTTTGCTCACAACCTCGAGCTGGAGTCTATCCTACTTTTTCCCCTTGTATGATGAATGAATGTTTTTTTGTTGGGAGTCATTGCATCTCATTTCAAATTTACGTCATCGTTGAGGGAAGGGTGTTAAAGAATTCACATGGCCCCATCAGTTGTAGAAAAGCTGCGGTAACTAAAATAAGCAAGAAGGATGCAAATTTTTCAACAATTAACAAAACATTCCCTGAGAAAAACCAACTATGCACGATCTTATATTAATGTCACGAACCAGATTCAACGATTTCGGCAACTTGTACAACTTCTGCAGCTGCTGGTTGGTCAGGAAGCTCTCGTCGTCCATGATGCTGTCGTCGGACACGGTTCCGTCCTCAGGGCCTTCCGTGGCCCCGGAACAATCCGACTCTGTGCCCCCTTCCACTCCGGGGATGTTTCCCTCGATGCCGCTGCTGTCCGAGTCGCTGTGGTACTTCAGATTGGCGACTACGTCCCTGAAAGTACCCGAAATTCACATTCATTATTACCTATTTATAATGTTTATTCATTTTTGAAATGACATACATATCAGCATACTACATATATTATTAAAAATATACATAACTTGTCCATGATCATGTAGTTTTTTTTTCCTTCTACTGACTGACTAGAATTTATTCTTCCATTGACGAAATAAATAGATTTTTTATATTATCTAAAAATAACTATAAAAACATGATATTATGTTGCATAAGCATTCTTTCATACAGGCTGATTCACGGTGGATGGCACATTAGACGTTTCTGGTGAACCAGGCAACGGATCACTTTAAAAATTCAATGGAGGGCATATTCGGACATTATCTAGCCAACTAAAATATTTTCGACAATGCGGTGTTGCCGCTTCTATTAGAAAGCAGTAGCAACTTTGATTTTTCAAATGGAACACTCTATATATAATATTATTTTTGGAATCTCCAACAATTGCCCGACAACTTTCCTTGATATTTTCCTATACCTATCTGTTACCGTTTTCGAAATAAAAATTAATTTAAATTTTTTTCTTCGAAAATCATGACTTCTAAAAATGCCGATATCTTTTAGTTAAGAAGTACTATGATATCGAAATTTGGTTTGGAGTTAGGTGATACCTGGACACTTCCCACACGTCAGCCTAATCTCCGTTACTTCAATACAAGGTGGTAAAAAAATACAGTTTTTTCGTTTGCTTGAAAAAGTTGCTGAAATTTGATTATTTCAAATGGAACACCCTGTATATTATTGAAAATTCGGAAAGCTGCTGAAATTTGCTTTCTTTTTATGTATATCATACCAATACCTAACTAGTCAAGTTTCGGACTTATGAGCATTTATTTGTGAAAATGTCCCTTCAGAATGGTATTTCCATTCGGTATTTGGTGAGCAGACCATGATTACTATTTGACAGTAGCGTTGTGACATTCTCCTAATGATATCGATATTTTCGTCACTTCAGAAGATGCAAATACCTTCAAAACGATGGAACAAAACTATTCAAACGAAGTTCTTATGAATTTGTTTATTATTTTTGGACAGTGTGATAAAATTATCAGCAGAACATGTAGAAAGTTCAATGAAATGTATCCGAATCTACCGCCAATGGACCTCAAGAAATTTATACGAATTCAGAACAATTTCAATGCATTTGGATCAACTTTAAAAGCACCCAGAAACTTGCCTCGACCCGTAACTTCTGAAGACAACCAGATTAATGTCTTAGCATATTTTCACGCATTTCCCGAGTCATCGATAAGAAGTGCTGAAGAAGATTTGGGTATAAAATATTCATCGGTTCAAAGAATCTTGCGAAGACATAAAATGCATGATTATAAATTCACCAAAATTCAAGCAATGAAGCCTCAAGACCCTCAACAGAGAGTAGAATTTTGTGAAATGTTGTTGACACGCATTCAAGAAGATCCACTTTTTTTAAATGAAATTATTTGGACTGATGAATCGAAATTTTCGAGAGAAGGGATTTTCAATAGAAAAAATCGTCATTATTGGTCCAGTGAAAATCCTCACGTCACAAAAGAAGCCGGATTTCAAGAAAAATTTAGTTTTAATGTCTTCTGCATGTTGATCGACAACATCTAGAAGCTACCTGAATATTTTGGAGAATACTGTGGAGAGTTTCGTCGATGATCTGCCACTCGAAGAATATCGAAACTGTTGGTACCAACTAGACGGAGCTCCTGCACATTGCACAAGAGAAGTGAGCGCAGAACTGGAAAGACTTTTTGACGATCGGTGGATAAGGCGCTTGGGACCATGGAATTGGCCAGCGAGATCACCCGATCTTAATCCATTAGATTTTTATTTGTGGGGAATGTTTAAAGAAAAAGTTTACAAAATACCCGTGCGTTCGAGAGATGAATTGTTAGAAAGGATTGCCCAAACATTTGAAGATTTGGATCCCAATGAAATCAGATCTGCCACCACGAAAGCAGTCAACAACCGCATTTTAAAGTGCTTGGAAGTGAACGGCCAGCGATTCGAACATATTTTGAAATAATATTCCACATGATTGTTCTACTTTTTTATGATTATTCATATCAATATTTCCAATTTCAACATATTGAGATTGTTCTGGATTCGTATAAATTTCTTGAGGTTCATTGGCGGTAGATTCGGATAGATTTCATTGAACTTTCCACATGTTCTGCTGAAAATTTTATCACACTGTCCAAAAATAATAAACAAATTCATAAGAACCTCGTTTGAATAGTTTTGTTCCATCGTTTTGAAGGTATTTGCATCTTCTGAAGTGACGAAAATATCGATATTATTAGGAGAATGTCACAACGCTACTGTCAGATAGTAATCATGGCCTGCTCACCAAATACCGAATGGAAATACCATTCTAAAGGGACATTTTCACAAATAAATGCTCATAAGTCCGAAACTTGACTAGTTAGGTATAGGTATGATATACATAGAAAGAACGCAAATTTCAGCAGCTTTTCGAATTTTCAATAATATACAGGGTGTTCTATTTGAAATAATCAAATTTCAGCAACTTTTTCAAGCAAACGAAAAAACTGTATTTTTTTACCACCCTGTATTGAAGTAACGGAGATTAGGCTGACGTGTGGGAAGTGTCCAAGTATCACCTAACTACAAACCAAATTTCGATATCATAGTACTTCTTAACTAAAAGATATCGGCATTTTTAGAAGTCATGATTTTCGAAGAAAAAGATTGAAATTAATTTTTATTTCGAAAACGGTAACAGATAGGTATAGGGAAATATCAAGAAAAGTTGTCGGGCAATCGTTGGAGATTCCAAAAATAATATTATATACAGAGTGTTCCATTTGAAAAATCAAAGTTGCTACTGCTTTCTAATAGAAGCGGCAACACCGCATTGTCGAAAATATTTCAGTTGGCTAGAGAATGTCCGAATATGCCCTTCATTGAATTTTCAGAGTGATCCGTTGTTTGGTTCACCAGAAACGTCTAATGTGCCATCCACCGTGAATCAGCCTGTATAATCAAATTTCCAAAATTACTGAATTCTCAATCAACCACGATTTGATTTTCTTCTTGAACCCAAAAACTATTTTTTTTGTCTTTTTCATTTGAAAATCAAAAGTAATATACTTTCTACTGGAGCTTATTTATATGGAAAATCCATTGCTCACTATTGAAATTGAATGTTTCAGTGATTTAGAAGCATTTATGAAGATTTCATATCAATAAATCATATATAATTGTGAAGGAAAGAACAGTATATTACACACCGAGGTAGGAAGAGATTCGTTCCTGTCGTGAGATTAGTCAGTTAATTGATACCCAAAGGGTCTATGATCTCGAGACACTGATGTGTCTGAAGATAGCTGTTTGGGCCGAAACTAGTCACAATACATTTTGTGTAATATAATTTTCGTGGTCGACCGACTTGGTGTTATTTCGTTTTTTCCTTCGAATGAATAACTGAATGGATGAATATAAATAGAAATTTTACTGACCTATATGGTTTCGGTAGCCTGGCCAGCGACTCGTAGGTCAGAGGGCCGGAATAGTCAGCCTGTTCCAGCGTCACGTATCTTGAGTTCGTTATGTCTGCGGCTTCTTGATTCAAACCCTCGCCCTTGCAGAGTGCCTCTAGCGATCCTAGGAGCGCTCCTACGCATTCTATACTAGCCAGCAATACGCTGGTATCACTGCATTGGGAAGATTCTTCTATTGAGTCCATTATCCTGTTCATGAAACGATGAGATATGAACATTGGGAAATTTAAAATTCAGTTCTGCAAACATGAAACGCGCCTCACATCTTCTATTCTCTGCAAGAAACAGGAAGTGATTCACTGATGAGGATTTGAGCATCGAGTGCTTTGATTCATTAATTCTAAACACACCAATCATTTAATTCTTTCAGTTTTTTTCGCCGTAACTAGGAACTTGTATGAGCCTATAGCCTATAATATTCAATCATACATGTTTACTTTGATTCATGTTGTACCTAACATTATGTGAAGTGGTTAGATGAAATAATCTATCTACCTACCCATCTATAATACGAAGGAACATGAAAACACAAAATCGGTTTTGAACAGAAGGCTTATAGCAAGCCTAGGAGCGCTTCTATTAGCCAGCAACACGCTGATATCACGGCATTGAGAAATCGACATTGAGAAATATACAGGGTGTCCCTGAAATGTCTTCACTAAAACCCACCACATGTTCGTTTGAACACAACAATTCGATACAAACAGAGTTACCTTAGTACGAAATAGCTTGGTTTGGGCGCTAGACGGCACTGAAGTTACAATTCTCATCGTTTTTGCCATAACTTGGAAACAACTCAACAGATTTTGAAATCTATAACAATGAAAAAAAAAAAAAGAGTTCGAATATGAGAATTGAATTGCGTGACTTGTTCACTACAAGAAAGATATCCTGGATGAAATGTAATAACTCTCATGGTTTCGAGAAAATTTGAATTTTAGTAATTCGAAGCATTGTTTGAAGGGTTCATCATTGTAACGTATCAAAATATTCATACGGTTAAAATGATTTATACAAGCAAATACAAGTCAGTTCATGTCAGAAAATAAAAAAACTACTGATATCGATACCAGATTCCTCCAGGTCAAAAATTTCCAGGGTCGTCACTTTGAATCAATAAAGTTTTCAACTCTAGGAGATTTAAGGTGAAAATATGTTTCTCCAGATAGATTTATCCACAGTCGATATATAATTTTGGAGAGGAATTGAAATTTGCAGAATATATCATCTGTCATTTTTACTTCACCGCACTAGTCATCCACCATCTTCAACTCACAGTCTTATAATTGCCATATCATCGCCTGCATGTCTTTGAATTGGTCCGCTGAGTAAAAGTAAATCTGCCAATCGGCCGGGAGATCTCAGCAACTCCCTAGCCGCCCTTAACGGCTCCAGCCTCTTCGCTGGAGTTGGCAGCAGCAACATCCTGTGGAAGAGGGCCTCTAAAACGGGTCGTAGAGCTCTTTCCCTTCCGACCAGTCTGACCACTTGAATGCCGATGCTAAAAAAATTATTGATTAAATAGAGAGAAATTTTGTTATGAGTTTTAGAATTATCATTAGTAGATGAGCTATGAGGATTCTGAATCAGAATCCTGTTTGAATAGAATTACCTATGTAGATAACTTCGATAATCATGATCAGGAAATCAGATAAGATAATTTTGGCCCAAAATGTTATTAATTTTTTTATTGAGATTTAGTCTGGGGTTCTGGAAAATGTCTGCAACTAGCTTAGCTTGCAAACTAATGGGGTTAGTCAACCAGATGGTTCGCTTATAGATTTTGTCATACTCGTCTTCATTATAACTTGAGCAATTGAACAGGAAGGAAGTCTACCTAGGGCGTCATGTTCAAAATTTCAAGCTTTGACCAACGTTATGTGGGAAAGTGCCTTCGAAACTGTCGTAGAGCTTTCTCCTCTTCAACAAATCTCACTATTTGAATGATCATGCTCCGAAAATTATCGATACATGTAACAAACTATGAATAAAAGCATGTTGTTGTGAACTCCAACAATTATCGTCAGTAGATAAGCTGTGGGAATTCCGGACGAAAATTCTAGTAGATTAGCTAGGAGAATTCTGGCCTCCCTTAACGGCTCCAGTCCCATCGCTGGAATCGGTAGAATCAACAACCTGTGGAAGAGGGTCTCTTGAACAAGCTGTCACACTCTCTTCCTACTGACTAGCCCGACCACATGGAGGCCGATGCTATAACAATGATCAAATACATGTTGTTGTGATCTTGAACAATCATCGTCAGTCGATGAGCACGAAGATTCTAGAACAAAATCCGATTCGAAAAAAATAACTCCGATAACTATGAAATTTTGGGTCAGCATCTTTTCAACTTTTTTTCATGACTTGTAACCTTCGAAACGGGCAATGATGATGCTGGAAAGATATTGTTAGATTGATTCAATCATAAATGAGTACATAATGTTAAAAACTTTAATTATTACCGTCAGTAGATGAGTTATGAGGATTCTGAATCAAAATCCTATTCGAATAAAAGTTTGTTAACAACTTCTTTGATAATGAGCAGTAGATATGCTATTAGAACTCTGGGTCAAAATCTTAGTTTTGCAAGAGGTCTTCAGCCAGCTTGGTATGCAATTTGAAGGGGTTGGTCAACCAAATGATTTGCTGATGGAGTTCGTTGCCATCTACAATTGCTCTTCTTTTAACTCCTGTTCATGACTCAGATTATACAAGAACGAAGGAGAGCTCGTACAATACATTGAGAACCTGCAAAACGGGCTGTAAAGCTCCCTCTGTTTCGACCAGTCTGACCACTTGAATGCAGGTGCTGAAAAAATGATTGATAGATTGATTGAATGATGTATGAAAGCATGTTGTTATGAATTTTATAACAATTATCGTCAGTATCATCTTTGGGGATTCTGCAACATAATCCTGTTCAAATGAAAGTATGTTGATAACTTTGATGATTATGGGCAGTATAGGTATAAGCTACCTATAGAAATTCTGTGCCAAAATATCTTCTCTGTCTGCCCTCAAAACCCTATTCTCTTTGCTGGAGTTGAAATCAGTATCATTTCGTGGGAGAGAATCTCTGATCCAGATAGAACATAATTTTGGCTAGAACTGTAGAGTCGCTAGATTCTTTCAATATCAAACCCATTTTTTATTTTTGGAATTCAATAACCAATGTAGTGCCAATGTTTGTATATCATTAAAAATTTGTGACCAACTGATATCCATTCTCCATATCCATTTAATATTGGCGGAAAATTAACGATCACGATATGTGAATTATCATGATGCGCTGATATTGTAATTCCACTATCGAATCATTCTTGGAAAGAAATACTGTATATATATATCAGATTCATGATGGTTAGGAAATATTGCATTTCGTTGTACAGCAATATTGCACTGATATTGGTTCCTCAATATCAATTCGATAAAATGAAAATTATATCACAAGATGCTTACCATCCAGCCCTGAGCATTGAGATACGATTCCTTGATTTTGGACAAGCTATCTTACATAACACTCACACAACTAATTACAATTTCCGGAAAGCAAATTTCAACTCATTATACTCTCATATGCTCTATATATGAACTGGGATTTTTTAGAATCTTTTTCCAATGTAGATATCGCATTGAATAACTTCTATTCTGTTATATATAATATTTTAGACCTATATGTACCATTCAGGCAAAATTTTGTCAGAAAATATCCTCCCAGCAGGTTCTTCAAGAAGATTATATATGAAATCGAAGAAAAAAACAAAGTTTTCAATAAATTAAAATCGACGAACTCTGAAATTTTGAGAGAAAATTTCAAAATTCTCAGACGGTCCATAAAGTCGAAGATTAAAATAGCATACAAAAATTATATCAAAGTCTCGGAGAAATCTATCAGGTCGGATCCATCAAAGTTTTGGTCATTTATCACAGCAAAAAGGGGACCTCCAGAATTCTTGGTATACTCTATCTAAATGACACCGAATATAATGATCCTTCAAAAATTGTAAATGCCTTTGCAGATTTCTTTGGTAGTGTTTATGCCAAACCGTGTGGTGATGAAACTGTTGGAAACTCTCAAATAAATAGCTTACAAGTGTCAGTAAGAGCCCAAAATTGATGGGATATACCCTGAACAGGGTATAGACAACGCTTCACTGCTGAATAAATTTTCGACAAGAGTCTCGAGATCATACCCGTGTGTTCACCGAACACGCTCGATCGTTACCTATGTGGTGGGGAGACCGAGCGAGACGTAAGCAGGCAGCCATGATACAATGAGTGGGCAGCTTCTCTCATGCTGTCTCTGTTTTTGTAGTACGGGGTGGGCCACCAACAGTTTTCTTGATCACATTTCAACATTTTTTTTTTCGAATAAATAAGAAACATTTGATAGGCATCAAGTGATCTACTGCGACCTATCAGATAATGAAAGCGATGATTTGATTTGCAATAATTCGCTGTCACGACGAGTCCTAAATTTGAATAGCGAACCACTCATCGAAAATCATGAAACTATATGTACATATTATATGCTTATGTTTTGTTGGCGAGGACGCTCGTTTTATTCAAATTATTTTCGATAATGTTCATCTGCTTCACTAGAAATTATTATCAGTAGTTAGTAGTAGTAGTATAGTAGTAGCAGCTTTGTTATTCAAAATGCAACACCTTATATTTTATTACTTTTTTCGATTCTTTCTAATTGAGCTATGATTTCGTTGATCAAGCTCAAGGTATACGTAGAATGTGAAAAATCGAGATTTTTTTATATCGAAACTATATACAATAACTATATTGATTTGTCAAAATGGCTCACATCATGTGTCCCTATCCTAACATTCTATTTACTATCTACTGATACCATTTGATTGAAACAAATACAGGGTGGATCAGATTTCAGAATTTTATAAAAGAAGTACTAGTATGCCTATACTAAAAATATATGTATATATATTTGAAATAAACAAAACAAATATATCACATAAAAAAAAAACACTTTAATATTCAAGATAAAATAAAATTCAATCCCAATAGATGTAGTTAAAGATATAAACAGTGTGCATGTCACTTCTATAATGGAATCAACCCGTATATCTAACCATAGATTAAACAAACAATAGATAGACAATCCCTGTACAAATTGGTAACGCTCATAAATTGTACGCCAAATTCACATTAGTATTATCGTCAAATGTCAGATGGCGCTCTATCTCTTTTATCGATCGACTCGTAGTAAAATTGTGAAAGAATAATAGTATTTGGGCGTGGCATCAAGATAAGGATCATGATTTATGGCTCACAACATGAAAGGGTCTTAACAGGTAGGAAAATAACTTGTATGAGGTATATAGATATGGTTCCTTCGATGATTATTTTTATTCACGCGCGTGTATAGGCATGCACCTGAACAAACTTAAATCTCAGGAAGTCTTCATTGTTTTTTTTACGGGGTAGGTCAAGATGAATTGAAACTTGATTTTGAAACGTATACTTTAAACATATAGTAGAAGATCCGAACCTAAATCGACCTTCACCGAGCTGATAATAGAACGAAATATATTTTATCATGAATTTAGTATATTAGAAAACATAATGAAAATGGGTTCGCTAAAAAAATCCTGGGCAGACTATTTTTAATTATTTTTCGAAAAATGATTTTTAATTAAATGTTGCAACATCAGGATAATAAAAAAATTTTGTCCTGACTGAAAGTATAAAACGTATAGAATGTGCAGCCGTTGGGTTGTCTACTATTTACCTGGGCGAACTACTGGGTTGTCAGGTAAACACAGGTATATCGATGCCAGTTACTTTCACTGGATCGGATAATTAAAAAAAAATTATATCATCATAAGCGCTGTTTAATTGCGAACACGTTGATATAGGGTTGTCTGCGAAAATTCCGGTCCTATTAGGGGTTTGCGAATTTTAAAGATTTTAATTTCAACGCGCGTGGAAGTGTGTGACAGAGAGATCCGAGGTAAGTATACTGTGTAATAATAAAGGACCCACCATCGCAGTCGCTTGTGATGGGACCCTGAATAGTAGAAAGTGCGCATGCACGGTGTGTAAACTATGGAGGGTAGAGGTACCTCTACTACCCTTCATATAGTAAACAGTGCGTGTTATTTTGGAGCAACTGATATTTCAGTAGCAAAAAAAAATAATTAAATAATTACATAATAATTAAATATATTTAATATAATACTAATATATAAAAACAATATAATATCAATATATTGCGTTATAACCATAATAATATATCTATAATCTATAATAGACAATAAAAATATCAATTACTTACTTAGAATTTTTTTTGCTCTTTCTGGAAATAGAAACAAAGTGGACCGCCAAAAATTTAAATTAAGAAATAACAAAAAATATAGACTAGACATCTTGTATTACGATTTAAAATTTCATTAAAAAACAGTATAAATACAAAAATAATATTAATGAAAATTAAATTCTAATAAATATTTTCTATTCAATATCTGATTCATC